TCCACCACTGTCCTGGGGGTACCTCTGTATCCCAGTGGGGCTGAACTGGCTGGTGAGAAAGTTGGTGACAGTAACACGGTTAGAGGGACCAGCACGGAAGGGGTTAACCCGTGTCCCCATTTGAGGTGACAGCGTCTCCTGGGAGGGCTGACCAGGAGGAAAGGGTTAACCTGCTTTCCTCTTGAGGCACTCAGTGGGTCCCAGTGGGGCTTGAGCATGGCGAGGGGTCACCCCTGGCCCCCTGTGGGTCTGTGCACTGGGGCTCAAGGCATGAGGGAACCCCTGTGTGCATGACAGCCCCTGAAAAGGATCGTGCCTCTGGGCTTGGGAGGGGGATAAACCCCATGCCCATGAAGTCAGATAAACCTCATGCCCATGGAGTCGGATAAACCCCATGCCCATGAAGTTCTTAGCCCCACAGTGGGGCTGGGTGGGGGGCTTGGGGTGGCAGTCTGTGCACTGGGGGGTTTCAACGCCATCCCCATGCCATTGTGAGCATCCTGGTGAGTCTGGAATTGGGGTACCCTACACGGGGAGGCAGCATGGGGGGCTTGACCCTATCTCCACTCAACTGTGAGCAGCCAGGTGTGGCTGGAAAGAGGGGAACCTCCTTGGGGAGACACTGTGAGGGGCTTGACCCCATCTCCACCCAAGAGCCAGCACCAGATAGGTCTGGAAAATGGGGGACCCTGTCGGGGGTGATGGCAGGTGGTACTTGACACCATCCCCACGCAGGAGACAGCACTCCTGCGGCTGTGGAGATACGGGACGCTCTCTGGGGAAATTGTGAGCGGGGGTCCTGGTCCGTGCCCACGCAGGAGGCGGCCGCCGGCGGGGCTGGCAGCGGGGGCTGTGCTGGCAGAGGCAGCGAGGGGAGGGTTAACCCCGTCCCCACGCAGGTGCCGGCACCCCAGTGGGGCTGTCGGTGGGGAGGGGGAGGCGGGCGGTGCGTGTGGGGGCTCGGGGAGGGGATGATTCATTGCGGGTAGTCATGACATTGCTGCCTGGTTGCCTGAGACTGCCATCCAGCACGGGCACGGGTGGCTGTGCCTGCCCCGGCGCGACAAGATCCCCAGCAGCTCCCTGACTGAGCCCGGGATACGCTACCATGCCGGCAATCCTGCTCTTCTGGAGCCGCGCCGAGAGGTATGCGCTGCCTCGGCAGCCGCGCCTCGCCGGAGCCACCCGGCTCGGAGCCCGCCGGGACTCCGGCCCCTGGGGACACGGCGGGATGGGGCTGTCGCCCGCCCGGCTGCTTCGCTTGCCGCGGGTGGGATGCAGGAGCTACCTGGTGATATCCCCAGTTCGGCTGCCTAGTTTCGGTGTAGAGCTTCTGGAGAGGATGCTCTCCGTGGCCTGCGAGTGACGGTGACAGACGAGGGGGACGCGGTGGCATTAGCTTTCCTTGGCGTGCCTGAAGGTGACTTCTCAGAAGTAGGTTTTGCGCCGTGGGCTCGGGGGACGCACCGTCCCCGTCCCGCTGCCCTGCCGCCACGGGGAGCCCCGGACGCCGGGCGGGAATGCGGCACTCGGATCCCTTCTGCCGGGGCACCGGTGCCGGGCACCGGTGAGGGGGACACAGGGACCCCCATGCATCCGAACGGGAAAAGCTGGGGAGGTGCACATTGGTTAACGTGACTTTTTTCCATATCAACGCCGCCCTACTTTTCTCCCTACCCGATTCGCCTGGCGGGTGCTCAGCCCTGGGCGTCAGCAGAGTCGTTTCTGGGGACACCGGGGGGCTCCTGGCTGCGCTCCCTGCGCTCCTTGGAGGGGGCTGCGTGGGGGACGTGACGGTACCAGGCGGCTGGGTGCCTTGTGGCAGCGGAGAAGAGGAACGCTGGAACTGACGGGTTAAGCAGAAGTGTCTTAATCTGTCGGTTTAACGAGAAAGCGTCAAGAAACCAATTAAAAGGAAAATTACGGCACGGCGAGTGACTCCATTGAAGGGTCTCTCCGTGCGCGGCTGGCAAGCGCACAAAGGACGGCAGCTCCCCGGCGGCACCGCGTCGACCGGAGGAGCCCTTTCGGAGCCATCCTGGGAGCGAGGTCAGAGCCCACCACGGCTGCCGGGCTGGCGAAGAGCTGCCCTTTGGGTGTGCCGGAGGAGGCGGAGGGGGGGACTCGCCAGCAGAGCATCCCTTGGCGGCGGCGGCATCCCCGGCACGAGCCAGCGCCTTCTGCCCCGCCGCCCTCCTCCCGCCCTCCGGTGCCTCCCGGCCGGGCACGCAGCACCTGCCGCCGCCTGCGGACAGCCGCGATGTTTAAAATAAAACTAGAGCCTTTAAAAATGACAGCTTGGACTATGAATGTGTTCGTAAAGTTTCGGTAAGTGGGTTTCCGCCTCTCGACCTTGTGTCCTCGTTAAACCATCAGTGCCTGAGCCTGGCATCCCGCGGTGACCTTGCACCTCGAGATGGAACAACAAAAAAATCTTGTGCCGTTGCCAGGGTGGGTTTGTTCCCTTAGATGACTGCCGAGCAGCGGGATTATGTCAAACGATCGCTATTCAGCTGGCGCGCTAGCCCAGCGGTTGCTCAGGCTGATGTCATGTGCGGGGCCGGCACAAAGATTTATTCTTTATTTAATTATTTTTTTTTCTTTTGGTGTGGTTGCAAGAGGAGGATGGAGGCTGGGCTGGCTCGGCAGGGCAGGGGAATGCCTGTGGTTTTAACCAAGGCAGAGTGGCCGTGGCTTATCTGGGGGCATCTGATTTGCACGGGTGATACCGGAATGCCTTTGACAGCCTGAAACCCCCCCCCCCCCGCCGCTCCCGAGGGGGTTAAATGGGAAGTCAGGAGAGGATGACTGAGCAGAAGGGGGAGAGGATCAGTGGCAAGGCGCAGCTGATCCCAGAGAGGTGGGAGGGAAGGAGGGAGGCTCTGCGGGGACAGAGTCGTGTTTTACCACCATTGTGCATGTGAGCTGAGCCTCGGGAGTGTGCCTTAACCCACCGGGTCACCCACCGGCACCTGGTCCTGTGTGGCACGGTAAACCGCGGCACCGGGAGGCATTTCGGTACAGAGATTCTCTTCCCCATGCCCCGCCAGACAAAGGGGTCCTTGGTCAGCTCAGAGATCCTCATCAGGCATCCCCACCCTGGCCAAAGACCTCTCGGTGGGCAAGAACAGAGATCTTGTGTGTGGCGACAGCATTTTGCATTTTTGGGATGTGTTTTCGTGGGAAGCGCTGTGGGGTTTTGGCCAGATGAGGGTGTCCCAGTGGTGCTGTCAGGTTGGGCTGCATGGGGTCAGAGCCAGACTCTGTGCTCTCTGGGCAGTGGCAGTTGAAGGTTTGTCAGCTCTGTGTTGCAGGAGCTGGGGTGTGATGGGGTTATCTTTAGCACTGCTTGGTTTGCTCTCGCTGTGGGAGGGTTGGCAACATCCAGACAGGGCCAAATTGTCATCTCAGTACTAGTCTCAGAGAGCCCCTGCCCTCCACTGGAGGCTGCTGTGGGGAGGTGGGCTGTTGGAGTGACCCTTGGTGTGGAGGGTGGACAGGATAGTTCATAGTTCTTAGTTTTCCTGCTGGTTGCTCACCCCAGGGTCTCCTGCAGCTTCCCCGCCACTTAGGGAGGGTAAATGGGGAGGTGGGTGTGGGCTGGGGGCAGAGCATCCCCCAGCACCTGCGTGGGCTGGGTGCTGCTGGCATCTCTGCATGCAGGAGCTGGTATAGAAATGTGCTGGCATCCGGGAGCTGCCACAGGAGACGCTGTCAGATGCTCTTTATGCCCCCAGGGACCTCCTCCTACTTCTTCTGTGCCTCCTGAGCTGTTGAACAGTGTTTGCAGATGCCCCCATCTCCCCTCACTGTGTCTTTAGGAGTGCCTTAGCCCCACTCCCCATGTGCAGCAAAGCTTCTCCTATGTGGCTGGAGGAAAAGAGAGCAGAAGTCGGTGGTTTGGATAGATGTGGCCAAATGTGGGACCAATTTCCAAGGTCCTGTAGCTGGTCATTGCCCAAGGCATGGCCCAAGGCAAGTGTTGGATGCTTGGTGTGGCTGCCAGACTCTTAGAGTAGCACCCAAGCATGGATCTTAGGGGAGCACAGTCACCCTTGACTGACCTGTGTGACCTCCAGTGGCAGCTCATGGATGGAGTAAGGATGGGGAGAACATCTGGTGGCTTGTATGATGGTGAAGAAAAGGGCCAAGGCTCACACCCCATGCCAAAATCCATCTGCTGGAGGGGCATAGTGGGTGGAGGTGGCTCAGGTGTGTTTGGAGCAAGTACAGGGTGAAACCTGGACTGTGGAGGGAGCAGGATGTGGGCAGTGGGAGTGCAGGTCTGCAAGGGCAGCACCTGGGAGAAGCAGGGTCAGCACTCAGTGTGAGAGGGGCCAGGCCAGACCCTGCTGTTCAGGGTGTCAAGTGTTTGCTGTCACATAACCGAAAGTCAAGGAGCAGTGGGAAAGATTCATGGAGACGCATGGGACTTGTTAGCTTTTGCCTGGAGGTGCAGCCCTGCCACCTCCCATGGCTGCTCCCTGGGTGGCTGTGACTCCAGCCGTGACTGGGGGATGAATTACGGCCACCGGGTTTTCCATGCCTTAGTATAGGCATGGGCACGGCCTCAGCCCCCGCGCGATGCAGCGAGTGAGCCCTGAGCTCCTGGCTCACTGCAAGATCCAGTTGGAGGCTCTCGGGGAGTGCAAGTCAGGCTAGAAAGTGTTGGGTTTTTTTTTTAAACAGAAAAAGAAAAAAGCCCTCCCACCATCACAAGATGTTTCTGTCTAACGGCTCCGTTCTCTCTCCGCTAAATACAAATTATGGCTCTGACAGCCGGAGGCGCTTATCTCCAGCTGAATGCCAATTGCTTTCAGGAACAAAATGTTTGAAGTTCCTTTAAGGTGAAGGCACAACTTGGTCCCTGCCACTGCTTTCAGCCTCCAAAACCTGCTGTCATCACCCTGACTTGGGTCTCAGGTCCCCAGCTGGGAGAGAAGCAGGCAAGGGGGTGGGCACAGGCTGGCGGCTACATTTGGACATAGCTCAGCCCTCCTGACTCAGCCGGGGGGGGACGGACAGGGACGTGGTCCTGGCCTGACGTTAGCAGTGGCGTGGCCCCTATAATAGCGTCGTGCCCCGACTTGAGCTCTCTCTCCCTGTCAGCCTCAGAGATGAGTCTGTCCATCCCAGCCGTGGGGCTCAGCGGGATAAAACCAGAGCTGGGATACATTCTGGCGCCGGGGCTCTGACCTCTGTTGGGAAGCGTGGACTTGAGCTGGCTCTGGTGCTGCTGGCCCGTGGGACACAGGGAGCATCGCCTCCGCGATAAGTGTGTGCCAGTCCCGTCCCCAGCTGCCCCTGTGTGAAACTCAGCTTACGAAGAGCTGTCTTTCTCCTTTCAGGAATAAGTACTCGGCTCCCGGCAGCGTCGCCGTCATGGGGAAGGACTATTACAAGATTTTGGGCATCCAGAGCGGTGCCAATGAAGATGAAATCAAGAAGGCCTATCGGAAAATGGCCCTGAAATATCACCCCGATAAGAATAAAGACCCCAATGCTGAGGAGAAGTTCAAGGAGATTGCAGAGGCTTATGACGTCCTGAGTGACCCCAAGAAACGAGCCGTGTACGACCAGTATGGGGAGGAAGGTAAGGGAATAAGCACTGCCCACTGGGAGGCAGGAATGTGGGGTCCAAATCAGTTTTAGAGGTGAGGGAGGGTTTTCACAGAGAGGTGTTTCATGCCTACTCCTGAAATGGGACTGGTTGCTAAAGAATCAGAGTGAAGGCTCCACAGGTGTCAGAAATCACCTCTCATCCTAATCCTCCCCAGGCTGCTTCACTTTTCCAGCAATTTGTCACTTTGCTTCATGGCGTGGCTGGGCTCCCCCTGCCCTCTGCCCCAAAACTGTGGGTGCCTGATGAGAAATGGAAGGAGCTCACCTCCTGGGTCATATCTGGGGTAATTTGTTAGCAGCTCTTGAAATGACCTAAATAACAGAGCAGAGACGTACTGCTTCTGCCCACGTTCCCCCTGCACTTGGGCACTGGTCCCACTGTCCTCCCTGGTACAGGCTGACCTACAGGATTCAAAGCTTTTCCCAATTTAAGTAATAGGCCCTTGTTTTGAAACCAAGTGGCTGCTGTTGTCTGGTGGTTGGCATGGAGGAGGAGGAGGAGGAGGAGAGCCGCTCCAACGCAGGCGGCCTTATTAGTCGATGATGGAAGAGTGCAACCCCATTCGAGGAGAGTGCTGAATAGCATCTGCATTAATCAGCCCAGGGCTTGGGTGCTTAAAAGAGCAGGAGGTCTGGCAGGAGCAGGCTGCTGGGTGGAAGAGACAGCTCCTCTCTCAGGCAGGTGCATCCCCTCAACAAGCCACCGGCAGGATTAAGCAGCAGTGGGTTAATTGTTGACCCGTTAGTTATGTCAGGGCTGTGATGGATGCACGGGCACAGTGATTTGCTGCCCTGTAAAATGAGAAGAGACTCTCTCAAGTGGGAAACCAGCTTTTCCCGGGAGGCCTCAGTGAAATCAGACCCTGCTCAGGCTGGCGTCATGGGATTAAAGGTGAAACCTCCTGGCTGTACAGTCTATTAGGAGTGGGGCTCACTGGGGATTTGGCAAAATCCCTGTCGCCTGCAGGCATCTAAAATAAGAGTGAATTAAGGAAGAGGGTAAGAGCTCCCTCACTGCCCCATCAAGTTAAAGACCATCTTCCCCCATGCCCCCACCATTGTTGAACCTCTCATGTTCCATGACCTTCCCCACACATTTTGTTTCCCTTTCTTTTTGGGGCACTGAAGATCAGCATTTTGAGGAGCTTCAGGGTCCCACATGCTGTGTTGGCAAGGTGAAGTGGGAAAGCCCCTTCAACCCACCCAGAATACTGACTTCAGCACTCAGAAGGGACTCCTACACTTGCCCTGCTGTGGAAAGGGCGTGGGGGGTTGGGACAAAGGACAGCCTGTCAGAAATAGTCCTTCACTGTCACTGGTGTGCCCTGAAAATAGTCCCTGAGCTAGGCTTGGCTTAACCCTTCCCAACCCTGCTGATCAAAAATAGCGTTGCAGAGCATGTGTGACCTCTTTGGGGGGCATTTGTCATGTGCCTTGACTCCTTGGGACTTGGGATGAGTTGCAGTGACGTCAGGCTCAGCCTGGGACCTGGCAGGGGAGTTTCCCATGGGAAAAGTTGCCAAATGATTCAAACCTGGAGCTTACCTGGCATTTTATACAGCCAATGTGCAGGGAGCTGCATGCCAGAGGTCTGCTCACCTCCACCTGCCTGTAGAATCATTGAGGGTGGAGAAGATCTCTAAGATCATTTAATGAAGCACTGCCATGTTAATCATTAAGCCACATCCTAAAGTGCCACATCCACACACCTTTTGAGCACTTCCAAGAATGATGACTCTATCATTGAGCACTTCCAAGAATGTTGACTCTATCACTTCCCTAGGCAGCCTGTTCCTGACCAACTTTTCTGTGAAGAAATTTTTCCTAATATCCAGTCTCAGAGACAAGGCTAAGGGGGCAGGAAGGAGCCTGCTCATGGGGAAAAATGGAGATGGGCTGATCAGGGTAGGTTTTAAATTAAAATTAGGTGAATAGGGTGGAAAGAATCAAAGAGGTCCTTCAGTGGGGATAGAGGGAATGAAGCCTGAATGGGTTCTGAGCTTGCAGGGTGTAGGAGTGGGACTGTGAGTCATGGGTGGAGATGGTGCCTTCACAGTGGTTGAGCTGGAGGTGATCTGCACACCCAGGAGAGGGTGGAAGGAGGAGGCAGAGGCCATTCTCCCACCTGGGCAGTGCAGGACTTGCAGACCATTCCCCCACAGGGAGCATTCATGTTTTCTCTTCCCCCTTCTCTTCCAGGTCTCAAAACTGGAGGTGGCTCTTCAGGTGGCTCAGGGAACACCTTCCACTACACCTTCCATGGAGACCCCCATGCCACCTTCGCATCCTTCTTCGGAGGCTCCAACCCTTTCGACATCTTCTTCGCCAGCAGCCGCTCCCGGATGTTCAATGGCTTTGACCAGGAAGACATGGATATGGATGATGACGACGACCCTTTCAGTGCCTTTGGCCGGTTTGGCTTCAACGGCATTAACGGGGTTCACCGGCGGCACCAGGAGTCCCTGCACACACGGAGGAAGGTCCAAGACCCACCTGTCATCCACGAGCTCAAGGTGTCCCTGGAAGAGATCTACCACGGATCCACCAAGAGAATGAAGATCACTCGCAGAAGGCTCAACGCTGATGGCCGGACCATGCGGACTGAGGACAAGATCCTAAACATTGTCATCAAACGGGGCTGGAAGGAGGGAACCAAAATCACATTCCCCAAGGAAGGGGATGCCACTCCAGACAACATCCCTGCAGACATCGTCTTCATCCTCAAGGACAAGCCTCACTCGCACTTCAAGAGGGACGGGACAAACGTGATCTACACGGCAAACATCAGTCTTAAAGAGGTGAGTACGGGTGGTAAATCCCATGGGGTGCGAGGTGGCAGTGGTTCATGGCCTTTGGGGCTAAGATGGGAGGCAGTCCTTCTCCTGCTCTGGATAGGAAAGACCAGGTAGGTCATAAGAAAGGAGCTGAGAGGCCAACTTGGTCTTGGCTTTGGAGGCACTTGACTTCATGCTGGGTGTGGGACACTGATGCTGCAGTCCCTGCTGAAGACACCTCACTTCTTGGGCCAATTCAGGTGGCTCATTTTATCCGTGTTTTTCCTTCTCCATGTGTCTTGTTTTTCGATTTTAGCATAGGGTATTCACATGTGGAACAAAGGGCACATCCTCTGTAGGAACAAGGGAGAACCCAGGTTGGGTGGCATCAGTCTGATTCCTGCTTTTCCTGTAGCTGAGCCTGCTGTGGCTTAGTTACTGCGTAGGGTTGCACCAGGTGCCTCTTCTCATGAGCAAAGAGCAGGATTATGTGGAGGAAAGTGATCACTTACCCTCCCTGAGTAGTGCTTTAGCTGTTTCCTTGATTCTGGCTTTCCTAGATAAGCAACCAAACAAATTAAATACCTAGGCAATGAGTAAAACTCAACACTTCCAGGCTGCCAGTCCTGGAGGTCACGGCAGGGCTGGTTGGATGCATCAGATCATCCAGCAATCTGCACGAAGGTGGGAGAGGAAAGGGAAGATTACCTCAGTACAAGATGTGCCGTTCGCCACTGCTGCTGTAAAACTACCTTTTAATAAATCCCAGCTGGCAGCTGCATTTAACGTTGACATTTTTGGCAGCTGCCATTTGCTGTTCCTTTCAGACGGTAGACGCTGTCTGTCTTCTTAATGAGCTGATTTTTTTTTTCCTTCCTGAAGGCAGATTTATGTTCTCAAATGCATTGAATAGAAATAAGCTCAATGGGCCAGACCTGAGGTAGGAAAACGTGATCTTGTGAAGTGTGCCAGGAAGTCAGGAGAGCTCTGTGATGGCTCTGCATCCCAGCTCCGGCTGTGACCGGGTGTACTGGGGGCAAAAAGCACGTGGGCCAGGCAGAGCTGGGCACTCCTGAAGCAAACTCAGCTCCACTTAACTTGCAAACTCAGGGATTTCCCTCACAGTGCAAAGTACAGAGGTTTATTCCTGCAGTAGCTGGTTCTCCTGGCCAATCCAGAAATACTCAGGAGAGACTGCCTTATTTATGGAGCAGTGCATGCCATATCTCAGATATTCCTTCTGTTCATTCCTTTTAGCTATAAAGTTAACCCTGACCTGGCTGTGCTGGTGCCCAGACCATGTTAGCGCAAGTTTGTGCACTAATCAGGCTGGAGGGACTCCTGCCTGGAGTTGGCTTTTAGCAGTAACTGGAGAAATGGGCTAGAGAAGTGCACCAGAAGTGTTGGACACCTGTAAGGTCCATGAGCAAGGCCTGCATGCTGGCAGGGGGATTGCACAATGCAGACACAAAGCAGAAAATTGATGGTCCAGGCAAATTCCTTATCTCTTTCAGCTGGAATTTCTGGTCTCTGACCTCCCCCAGCATAAGCCCAACAGGCTGGGCATCCTCATGGAGCTGCTGGTCTGGCTGTCTTCCCCAGCCTGCTGCTTGCCAGGGCAGTGTGATATTCTGCTGCATTTGTCTTCCAGGAAAAGAAGTTCCTTAAGTGCTCTGGAGCACGAGCAGATGCTGGGAGCTCTCCAATTCTGTATGCTACCACCTCAGTATGTGACAGAGCACAACTTCTCCATCTCCTCAGCCTTTGGCTGTAGCCTTAGGTCTCTCCTTGCACCTTCTGCCTTCCCAGGCTGCCTCTTCTAGCCTGAGTTTTAGTCTCTGTGTTGCCATGAGAGAACACGGTACCATGAGGAAAGCTGGCAGGTGATGGGTACTGGAGGGCCCTGCTGGGTGCCTGGCCAGGGCAGTGCAGGCATTTTGCCACCTGTCTGCTGCGGAATCATAGATGTAGGAGTGCTTTTCCAGGGATTCATTGTCTTCCTTCCAAAAATCAGAGGCGCGTGCCACATCAGGGAGCTGCGGGAGGGAGGAGGCACAACTCCACCAGCAGCTGCCTCTGCCGGGAGGCAGCGCTGCCGGCAGGGCGTCCTGCCCTCCTGGCTGCTGCCTAATGCCCGCCCTCGGCAGCATCCCGCTTTGCATCCTTTACCTGGCGTCACCTTCCTCGAAGCATCCGCGCCTGGGCTCATCCCGGCTGGGACGCGGCCGGTGGCGACGCCCTCCCCGGAGCGGAGGAGGACCCGCGGTGACCTAGATAAAGCTCTGCTCGCGCAGCACAGTGCACAAACCCAGGGTGATTTCATCCCCAGGGATAAACCAAGCCTCTTTCTAGGATGCGGGGTAGCTCCCACGGTTACTGGTGTTACTTCAGCAACCGTTTTCCCAAATGCCAGCAAAGTTGAGCAAGAAGAATGAAAAACAGGGACATAAGGCGGAGGAGCGATCGCCTCGGATTCTTGCGTCTTGGCTCTGGGAAGGAAACATTAAGATCCTGTCTGCCTTCGCTGTTACCGCCCGCTTCTGCTCACATCTCTGCCTGCTTTCCCCATCCACGTGTTCCTGCAGGGACTTCTTGTTCTCCTTTCTGTTTAGTGGCTGGAGGTGTCCTTTCTTGGCACGCGTGGGCACTTGCAGCCATGGCACACTGCACTGGGCACCAGCGAGCCGGAGGGCTTTGGCATCCTTGCCTGAATGCACAGCACAAACTCCTTGATGTGGGGAGATTGTCCTTTGTTTTCTCCTCAGCCTGCTGGAGATCAGCCAAGCACCTGCTGCTCACACAGAACTGGTGATGGTATCCTCCAGGCTGAAGACTTCATCCCTGGAGGACACCCTCTCCAGGAGGGGGCCCGTGCAGATGGGCCATGCAAAGGAGATAGGACCTTCTCCCCTGTTCTCTGCTCAGCAGAGACCCTGAACCAGCTCTGGCACAGATCCCACTGCAAAGCCTCTAGTTCAAAGCCTTGGTTCTGCTTGCAGAAGCCCCATCCATCATCTCAGAGCCAGTGGCCAGCATGAGATGTTTCTCCTGGTTCCTGTTGCTACTCTGCCTTTGGAGGCTTTTCCTGGCTGGGGGGAACGCAGAACATTCCCCCACCTACCCCGGAAACAGCAATTGCATCTTTCTCTGCTCCCCTTGCAGGGTGTTTTGGGAGGGCTGGGACCCCCAGGACCCAGTTCAGAGGGACAAACCTGTGCCAGCCCCCACATGGAAGCTCGAGGCTGTAGCTCAGCAAGCCCCCAGCCCCCACCCCCTTCCAGAAGCATCGTTCCGCAGTCCTCTCGCTCAGCTCTTGCTGAAAGCCTGGAGACGATCCTGCCCACATGTACGACAGAGCTGTCTGAGTTATTTAAGGACACAAGGATTTTCTTGCTGCATTCCTGCATCACGTGGCTTGCCAATGCAGGCCAGTGTGCGGCTGCTGCTGGGGGCTGGGGTGCAGCGGGGTGGCACCCCCACACCAGCTCCTGGCTGTGCAGTGGGATAGGAGATGGGAACCAGCCCCTCCAGCACCCCAGCTCCCAGGGAAGCTCAGTGCCATGGCCACACCATTGTGCCATGCTGGCGTAGCCTTGTGGGGACTGTCGGTGGCAGGGATGGGACATGGGACATGGACTGTGCTATAGATAACCCCAAGCACCGGGCAAAGCTGCCGTGCTCTGGAGGGTGACAGCTGATGGGCTGTGGCAGCATCCCATGATCTCAGCTGGATTTTCGGCTGCCTGAGGCTGGGCGACAGGGCTGGAAAGGAGCTAAATTTAGCCTGCGTTGTTGCTGTGGGTGGCTGGGCTCTTGCTGGTGGTGCCTTCTGGGCAGCCCAGCAGGTGGGGAGGGGAGTCCTTCCCCCGATGAGAGCTGGGGCACCCCTCTCCTGGGGCACCCCTCTCCTACACGGCTCCTGCAGCCCAGTTCATGGTGGTTGGACCAGGCTGGTGCCAGCAGAGAGCTGTGCTTGCACTGGTGAGCATCACCCAATGCTCTTGGGCAGCACCCAGAGGGAGCTGGGCAGTTCAACTGGGAGAGCAGCCAGTGGGGAGACAAGGGTGTGGCTGTCAGGATGCTTTGGGGTATCAGCCCCATCTGATGGCCTGTTCCTTCTTCCTTCCCCAGGCCTTGTGCGGCTGCACTGTGAACATTCCCACCATCGATGGACGGGTGATCCCGCTTCCCTGCAACGACATCATCAAGCCAGGGACAGTGAAGAGACTACGTGGGGAGGGGCTGCCCTTCCCCAAGGCCCCCAGCCAGCGAGGAGACTTGATCGTGGAGTTCAAAATCCGCTTCCCGGACAGAATAGCTCCCCAGACAAGACAGATCCTCAAGCAGCACCTCCCATGCTCCTAGAGCCCAGGGACTCTCCTCCAAAGCAGCAATACTCCAAACGCATGTGCCACAGCACCTGGCCTGCAACAGAGCCAAGGTGTCACAGCACTTTTAAATGCAAAAAAAAAAAATAAAAAAACAACCCCTCACACTACTTTTCTCCCCCAAAAAAACCCATCCGACCCACCCCCTATCCATCCTTCTTGGCTGGTTTTTTACTCCAGCAACGGGGAGACTCCTGTCTGCCACAGCTCTCCCGACTGCCAAACCTTTTCTTTCTCCCCAGAGGTCCATTTTTTTGCCTCGCAAGAGTGAGAGCCATGGGCCCTCTGCCCGGGGAGGTGCGTTGTGTTGTGGGTTTTTTATGTCACCTGCTTTTCAGGCCACTCTTCCCACAAGAAGCTGGACTTGTCGGGGTCCGGCGCTGTGTAAATAGGACTCCACAGGATCTGGCATCCCCGCTGCTGGTTTTTCTCTTCCCCTCTTTGACACTTGCTGCTGTTTGGGGTCCCGGCTGCACCGCGGTGCCGATCACTCCTGCCTGCGGTGGCCCCCCCAGTAGCTGGACAATTTCTCACCTTGGGGCCGCGGTTCCAACCGTGGTCCGCTCTCCTGTGCCAAGCCTACACCGAGCCTCGGCCGTGCCAAACAACGGAGCACGTGGGGATGGTCCATCCAGCCTCCTGCCCCTGCCCGGGGATGTCCCCAGTGCCCGTGGGCAGCGCTTGCCTGCACCTGCTGCCCGCAGGGCCCAGCCAGCAGGAGGAGGGGGGAAAGCCCAGGGTGGAGTTTTCTTTTTTCAGATGTGTTGAGTTTGCATTGCTGCTTTGATTTTTTAAATACATATATATAGAGCTCATTAGATAAACTTGGTAAGGGTTTTTCTCTGCCTGAATTGGGGATACTGGCCTGACGCACCCAGGCTTTTTTTGAAAGGGGGATGATTCAGCCACACGAACAGCAAACCCCCGGAGTGGGGTTGTGTGTGCGTGTAGCACTAATCTGGGTGCAAAAGCAGAGCCAAGCGTGAGCAGAGCTGTGGGTTTCACTAGTGTTTCAGGTCAAATTAAGGATTCTAATAAGAAGAGAGAGGCGTGTGTATATATTTTTCTACAGGGACAATTCATTCAGGAGGTGTTTCTGGACATCAGGATGGATCTGGGAGATGCATGAGGCAGTCCGTTTAGTGGCTCCATTTTCAAATACTGTATTTTTTTAAAACCTTTGGATTTCCATCAGGAGAATTTTTATATTTCTAACCTTTCTCAGCCCACTCTGCCTCATGCCATTTTTTTTCCCAGGAAAGGGCTGGTGTGGAGCTGGAGGCACATTCGACCTGGCTTTGTACAGCTCCTCTTTCACCACAGCACTGCCAAGAAAACCCCTGCCAAAATATTCCCCACCCCCCACCCTGGGAATCCTTTTTTTTTTTAATTCCTAAAAAAAAAAAAGTACTGACTTGAAGCGGGGTCCCTTGGGGTGGGGAGCTGTGTGTGGGGTGTCCGTGGGGCTGGGGGTGCAGCTGTACAGCATTACCTGTGGGGCGAGGAGACCTGTGAGGCACTGCTGAATCAATCACCCGCTTTGGCCAGAGAGGGGTGGCCACTGGTTCCCTCCATCCCTCCACTGGTCCCTGTGGAGTTTATTGTGGAGAAATGTGGTGGACAACATGAGCGAGAAGACAGGCCAGCGCGCAGATGCAAGCTGATTTGTTTTTCTCGGTTTCAACGAGACCTGAATGTTTTATAGTGGGGTTTTTTGTAATTTTCTTTTTTTTTTCCTTTTTTTTTTTTTTTTTTTTTTTTTTTTTTTTTTTTTTTGTAATGTCAGTATTGAGAGAAATAAAGAAGTATTTTGAAAAATACACTTTCTCAGTGTGTGTTGTGATGGGAGGTGCCAGGCTGGGCTCCAGCCCAGGGAAGAGGGCTCCGTGCCAGGGTCATTGCCACCACCACCCTGGCCAGGTGCCCTTGAGGCTGGCAGGGAGGGGAAGAAGAAATCTGTTTTGTTTTGGTACTTGTTGCACAGGACCTTCAGGGCCTGCTGATGTGGGGGAGGGGAATGAATACATGACTTGGGTCGCAGGATCCTCCCCACCTGCATGGCCTGAGTTGTGCTGACCACATTGCCAAGGATTGGGAGCAGTGCTGGTGAGGGGCTCTGTCCCCTCAGGGCTCTGGGATGGGCAGTGGGATAGCCAGTGAAGGGCTGCAGGGGGAGGCTGGAGAGAGCAGTGCCCATCTCTTCTCAGAAGGGCCTTGGGGCAGGGCGAGAGCCAGAGGCATTGCTGGCACCCATGGAAAGTCCTGCTGCTGCCAGGGAATGTTTGCACGTCAGGAGCTGTGCACAGGGACAGGAGATGAGAGCAAAACCCATGGGCCTTGTGGCCATCTCTCAAGTCCAGTGTGTGGCTCAAGTGGGTTTGATTTTGGGTGAGAATTGTCAATAAATTAAACTGGATGTTAATTGCCACGTAGCACTGCATACAGTTTCCATGGCCACTAATATGCCCATCACCATCACTGGGCACTTGCCTCGCTGAATTTGGGATCTGAACCCAGCTCTCCTTTGATTGCCGTGTTAATGAAGGATGAGTTTTGGTGAAACCAGCCAAGCCCAGCAGTGATAGAATCAGAGCTGGTTTCTACATGTGACACCACCACACATCATCTCTCCTGCCCTGAAAGACTCTCAGGACAGGTAAAGCCCAAGGTCATGAACTAAACAACTTCAAGGGACTTTAATAGGGCTGGTCCACAGACAGAGAGAACGATGTCATTGCAGAATCAAAGGATGATTTGGGTTGGAAGGAACCTTAAAGCTTGCCTGATTCCAACCCCATGCCATGGGCAGAGACACCTTCTCCTTGACCAGATTCCTCAAAGCCCCATCAAACCCAGCCTTGCACACTTCCAGTGACAGGGCATCCTGTGCCAGTGCTTTACACCCTGACAGTAAAGATTTTCTTCCTGATAGCCAATCTAAAACCCCCCTTTTTCACTTTGAAGGCATTATTCCTTGTCCTGGACTACATGCTCTTGTCAAAAACCTCTCCCCATCCCTCCTACAGGCTCTCTTTAGGCAGTGGAAGGGTTCAAGACTGATATCAAAAGACAGGAGGGGATGTGGTACTGGGAAGCAGGGCACCTTGTATGGTGGTTTCATCTGGGACAGAGTTCACTTTCTCCCCAGTAGCTGGTTTGGTGCTGTGGTTTGGATTCAGTAGAGAATAACACTGATAACACACTGATGTTTCAGCTGCTCTCAGCAGTGTTTACCCTAATTCGAGCCCTGGTCATTTTCCCATGCTCTGCCAGGGCATGGGAAACCAGGAGGGGGCATGGCCAGGAGAGCTGAGCCACACTGCCCAAAGGGATATTCCATGCCACAGAACACCATGGCCAGGGCATGAACTGTGGGGAGAAAGAGTGAGTGGCTGCATGGCACTTAGTGAAACCTCAACAGCCCTGCGTGGGCCCAGAGGATGAAGTAACAATAGATCTGAGCAGAGCTTGATAGAGCAGGTTTGTTATAAGCATTAGTTTAATAATTTCTGGTCACAAAGTTGTTCTGCCTGCACTCAAGTTCCTGTGCTTGAAGGAGCACCTTACTTTGTGTGTGTCCCCTGTTGTGACATTGATCCTCTGTGGGGCCTGGGTGAGCTGCTCTTTGCAGTAGTGATTTATAGTTGTCTCCATGTGCCACATCACCATTCCTGAAAGTTTCCAAGAAGATGTACAGATCTGGTGCCTAGGAACGTGATTTAGTGGTGAACTTGGGAGTGCTGGTTAAATTGTTTGACTCAATGACCTTAGAGGTCTTCTCCAACCTAAATATTCTGTGACATCTTTTAAATACTCCCACAGCCATGGCAGCCTGCTTCAATGCTTGACATCACATTCTACGAAGAAATTTATCCTAATATCCAGCTTAAACTTCCACTGGCACAACTTGAGGCTGTTTCTCTTGTCCTGTCACTCGCTATTTGGGAGAAGAGACTGACTACACTCGCCTTTCAGGTCACTGTAGAGAGTGATCAGGTCCCCTCTGAGCCTGTTTTTCTCCAGGATAAACACCCCCAGCTCCCTCAGCTGCTCCTCACAGGACTTGTGCTGCAGACCCTTCCCCAGCTCCTTGCCCTTCTCTGCACTCACTGCAGCACCTCAGTGTCTTTCTTTTACTGAGGGCCCCAGAACGGGACACAGCACTTGGAGTGTGGCCTCACCAGTGCCCAGCACAGAGGGGCAGTCCCTGCCCTGGTCCTGCTGGCCACACCATTGCTGATACATTCAGGATGTCCTTGGCCTTCTTGGCCACCTGGGCACGCCCTGGCTCATGTTCAGCCACTGTTGAGCAGCAGCCCCAGCTCCTTTCCCACTGGGCAGCGTTCCAGCCACGCTGTCCCAGCCTGGGGCACTGCCTGGGGTTGCTGTGACCCAAGGGCAGGACCCAGCACTGGGCCTGGCTGAACCTCACACAACTGGCCCTGGCCTGATCTATTGGCACAACAGAATCTCCATTTGTGAGACCAATCTGATACAAACCCTCAGCACTGCCATTCCCTCTGTATTTCGGGAGCCATCTGTTGGGAACTGTTCATAACTGCACCTTTGGCCTTTTTCCTTGGAGAGTTAAACTATGGCAGAAACATTTTCCTACATCTGCCTTCTTTCACAGAATCAGTCATAGAAAGGTTTGGGTTAAAAGGGATCTAAAAGCTCATCTCATTCCAAGCCCCCTGCCATGGACTGGAGCACTTTCCACTAGACCAGGCTCTCAAAGTCCCATTCAGCCAGGCCTTGAACATTGCTAAGGATGAGGCATCCATATCTGTAATTCCTTCCTGCCTTCCATCTTTGTGAGCCCTCGTTTCCCCTGGGCTGGTAACAGTAGGCATCCTTTAGGGAAGAGGGAGGAGATAGGGGCACCTGGTGGTTTTACCTGAGAGAATATGGAGGGGACACAAGAACGTGGGAAGGAAAACCTGCATACACCATAGAGAGACAGGTATGGGAATTGCAAAGGAAAACAATCACAAATGAGGGTTCTTCCAGAGTGTTTGCTGCCCAGTCTCCAGTGGGTAGTTTCCCAGGCAGAGTCAAGGTATAGTGCTCCTGATCCTATGGCAAGCATGAAGCTGTGTCAGGGGAGATTTAGGTTGAAAAGGTTTTTCACCCAGAGGGGTTGATGGGCTCTGGAACAGCTCCCCAGGGAAGTGGTTACAGCACCAAGCAAGGCAGAGTTCAGGAAGTGTTTGGACAATGCTCCCAGGCCCATGGTGTGTCCCTGGGGGCGTCCTGTGCAGGGCCAGGAGTTGGACTCAATGGTGGTGGTGGGTCTATTCCAACCCAGGGTGTTCTGTGATTCCATTTTTACAAGAAGTGAGCAGCAAATCCAACGGCTGGGACTAGGAGGGCCCTGCCTCTATCCTGCATCCTACTGTGACCCTAAAGCCATGGAGATGCACAGGGCAGAAAACACCCATATTTCTGGAGGGACAAAGGAACTTTTCGGGGTCCTGTGCTCTGGTAGGGAGCAGGGGCACAAGAAGCTGGGTGGGAGCATGGCCAGGAGAGCTGACCCAAACTGGCCAAAGGGATATTCCATGCCATGGAACACCACGGCCAGTGTATCAGCCAGGGGGGCTGTGGCAGGTGGGGTGAGAATGAGCAGCTGAGCAGCACTGATTCACCAGCTGGGTTCAAACCTCCACAGGTGGGGAAGCCCTTGGAGCAGGAACATCCATAGGGAAGCAACACATGTGGGGCAGGAAATGTCAGTGGGGAGGGCACATCCACAGTGCAGGGGATGTCCATGGAAGAGGGATGCCCTCAGGACCAGGATAGCCATGGGGAGAGGGCCCACATGGCCTGGAGGGCTCAAGGGGAAGGGATGTCCTGGGGGTCAGTGCTGCCAGTGGAGCAGGGATGCCCACAGCACATCCATGCCTGCCTGGAGCAGGATGAGGAGCTGCTGAGAGAAGTCACTTGTGGTCCCCTGGTGATTGGAGCACCTGCTGGGCCCAGAGGGGTTTTGGGTGGTGCAGGAGTCTCTTGGATCAGGGATCAGCCTCTAACCCCAACGCCATGGCCTGAGTGAGGTCTCCCACCCTGCATCAAGTCTGGCTGGACTGTGGCTCCCATCAAGTCCAATGGTCCTGATGGGGCCTGGCTGTAGGGGGTGAAGGGCTCTGGGGCCACAGGTGGAACACAGTGGGGCACAGGGGTCAGCAAAGCAAGGGGATGCCCTCAGCTTCCCCCTCACTAATCCCACAGTGTGCAGGGCATGCCTGAGCCAACACCATCTTCCCCTCTCCAGCACCTTTGGGAGCTGCCCAGTGTCCCAGCAAGGATCTGGGCAGGGAGGAGGGTGCTGCAGAAAGGCTCGTGCCCTGGCAGTGACTGACCAGGGTCTCTGCTGGAGGAGTCCTGAAAGGG